TCAAGTTTTGTACATTAAATGAATTCTTTGTTATTCATTGAGTTTTAAATTAAGATTTTCAACACAATTCATGTTAAGAACCAATTCTTATGCATTGTTTTTATTTAAATAAGTGTTTCCTTTTGTGAATACTTTTGTATTATTTTTGTTTACATTTCGTTTATTCATTAAACAATTTGGGAATTTAGGCATTATTTCTGAGACCATTTTCTCAATTCTTTATTTATTTTCAATTTAATTAAAAACCTTAATTATAACATAAATCTGATAACACTTGCTTATAAATTATATACAATTGTATTATTAATTATAATAATTTTTAATTAATACATTTAAAACAATATATTGTTTTATAAACTTAGCAACTCATTATTGTATAATTAATTAATTAATTATGTAGCATTTTATATAGTAAAGGGTGCCACAATTGATCCCAACGATGTTTAATTAAAGTAAAAAATATTTATAATTATTATATTCTGACAAATACTACCCCAAAATGTTGGAAATTTATTAATATTTTACGTGTGATTTATAAAATTTTCATTAAATGCCTACCATGGTCATAATTTGAGTTTTACTGCATGCATGTCAGTTTATGTGAATAAAAATCGTTCATTTATTACATCGCTATGAATACTAGTATTGATTCAATTGATGCAAGCATTCAGTGACAGTCGTATCACTCGAGTACTAAAACAATAAAAACTTTTTTATATTGAAAGACATTTTCAAAACAATTAAAACAAATTGTAATCGAATTTATTGAATGATGAATAGAGTGATACAACTGTCACTGAATTCGCTCATCGATTAAATCAATGCTTGTATTAATAGCGATGTCAGAAATAAATGACCGATTTTTTATTCTCGATAAACAGACATGCATGCAGTAAAACTAAAATTATGACCAGTATAGGCATTTTATAAAAATTTTATAAATCCCAAATAAAATATCAATTAATTTCCAACATTTTGGTGTAGTTTTTGTCAGGATATAAGTAATAATTGTAAATATTTTTATTTTAATTAAACATGGTTGAGATCAATTGGGACATCCCTTACAATGGAATAGAAAATAATTGAAATACATACTATTTATAATTTTATTAATTTTATACTATTTATATTAAATTACATAAAATTGTCGATATATTTATTTTAATTTTAATTTTCAAAATAAAATAAATTAAAAAATCGCTTTTAAAATAATTTATATTCGGAGTTGAATTAATTTTAAAAATTAAGATGCAATTAATAAAACTTTAATTTGTTTTATAAGTGGTTTTCATTACAGACTTGTAATGTTTATCTCACACATAGAAGCAATTTTGTGCCACTAATCGATTCGGTCACCACTCATATAATATTTATTGATAACGTAGAGGACAGGGGCTTATGGATAGAAAATGTAATTATTTATTAACATTAATCTAACAAATAGTTGCAAAACTGAAAGACTCAGTCGTGTGTGAAAAATGCTTTTCTGTTTATACTTATCGTACAGAATATTCTCTGTATTTCTGTATTGAGAGACACTCCGAGTGTTTGTGTCTATAGACTGACCAACAGTTTGAATCTATAAATCAATTCTGACAATAGTATTAAAACTATATGTCTGACTAAATGTTCCCTTATTTTTAAAATTATTTTAATTATATCTTAACTTATTTTTGTGTTTTTATTTATTAATAATTAATTATAATTAATATACAGTACATTGTGTTTTTAAAATAAATTTATTATAAATCTTATTTTTATTTTTTGAATTAAATAATATTTCAAATTTAGAGATTCTCAATATTTGTGTTTTATTTTAACGATTAATTACAATTAATATACAGTACATTGTGTTTTTAAAATAAATTTATTATAAATCTTATTTTTATTTTTTGAATTAAATAATATTTCAAATTTAGAGATTCTCAATATTTGTGTTTTATTTTCAAACTTAAATGATTGACAATTTATTTAAGAGATCTAAATCCATCAATCCTTCATATTATGGTTTAGCACTCATTTCTCCAAACTCGTGATCACATTATACTTGAAAATAAATAAAAATACAATTTGAAGAATAAATTACATTCAAACAGAAAAGATTTCACAAATTAATTACCATTTTGTTTGTTTTGGACTTAACTCGAGAGAGAGAGAGAGAGAGAGAGAGAGAGAGAGACGACAGGAATAGCATTTCTAAACATAATGATTGAGTTTTATACATTTAGAGTTTATTCCGTTTAGTTATGAAAACACATCCCTTTCCCTTATAGTCAGTGATTGTTTTATNATTGAGTTTTATACATTTAGAGTTTATTCCGTTTAGTTATGAAAACACATCCCTTTCCCTTATAGTCAGTGATTGTTTTATTTAGAGAACGTGACCCGTTATATGAAAAATAAAACCTTTAATAAAAAAACCTTTAATAAAATTGTGAAAAACTTTTTTATATTCATTGGTTCTTTTACTTTAGTATTGGACTCTTTGGACAGTTGTCTCTGTATTAGCTATATTGCTGAATAAACCAGTCGAGCGATCAATAATTTGTTTGTGAATCACCAGAATATATACACACAGAATATACAGTATATATAATATTATACATAACGTATATATTTTGGTAAAAAGATAGATCTCTTTATATAAATCTCTTCTGACTGTAAGGAAAGGCAGCGTTAATATAGTGACAGAATATATGATTAGATAAGTGAAAAGGGTATGGCATTGAATTTACAGTATATCCAAAATAAATATATGTATTTATTTCAGACAACAAACAAAAATTTTAGAAGATAATTAAAATATTTGGATTCATTCAAAAAGTGTTGAACTATTTTTCTAATTTATGTCTTATTTTTATTTATTATTTTATAATTTATAGCTTTTATGAGAAACTTTTGTGTGAATATTAATGTGAAATATTTTGAATATTTAATGTAGTTTATAATATTATTGAAGAGAGAGAGAGAGAGAGAGAGAGACGACAGGAATAGCATTTCTAAACATAATGATTGAGTTTTATACATTTAGAGTTTATTCCGTTTAGTTATGAAAACACATCCCTTTCCCTTATAGTCAGTGATTGTTTTATTTAGAGAACGTGACCCGTTATATGAAAAATAAAACCTTTAATAAAATTGTGAAAAACTGTTTTTATATTCATTTGGTTCTTTTACTTAGGTATTGGACTCTTTGGACAGTTGTCTCTGTATTAGCTATATTGCTGAATAAACCAGTCGAGCGATCAATAATTTGCTTGTGAATCACCAGAATATATACACACAGAATATACAGTATATATAATATTATACATAACGTATATATTTTGATAAAAAGATAGATCTCTTTATATAAATCTCTTCTGACTGTAAGGAAAGGCAGCGTTAATATAGTGACAGAATATATGATTAGATAAGTGAAAAGGGTATGGCATTGAATTTGCAGTATATCCAAAATAAATATATGTATTTATTTCAGACGACAAACAAAAATTTTAAAAGATAATTAAAATATTTGGATTCATTCAAAAAGTATTAAACTATTTTTCTAATTTATGTCTTATTTTTATTTATTATTTTATAATTTATAGCTTTTATGAGAAACTTTTGTGTGAATATTAATGTGAAATATTTTGAATATTTAATGTAGTTTATAATATTATTGTACTGAATTTTAAATTAACAAGCTTTTTTGCTTAAGTAAGTTCTTTATTTAATTTTATTAAAAATTTGATTCTTCATAATAAGAATATTTTCTAAATAAAAAGTATTAAAAACAGAAAATATGTTTCCATTTGAAGAATATTCTCCAATTTCACAAATTCTCTTTGAAATGTGTTTTTCAAACTTATAGTACAATAATAACAATCATATTTTCAATTCTATTAAATAAAATGATTGGTTTGCATATTATTTGACAACTTTTATGATCATATGCTATACAATATATTTCACTCTATTCTCTATTCAATGTATTACTTTTTTGAAGTCTTTCTCTCTCTCTCTCTCTCTCTCTCTCTAATCACTGACTATAAGGGAAAGGGATGTGTTTTCATAACTAAACGGAATAAACTCTAAATGTATAAAACTCAATCATTATGTTTAGAAATGCTATTCCAGTCGTCTCTCTCTCTCTCTCTCTCTCTCTAACTCGCTCACTATTTATAAATCACAATACAATAGGAATTTATTATGAATTGATTGAATGGCGCAAACACTAGACTTTTACCATAGACTTTGCGCGCATGAGTTACACCACAAGCCATACCATCCCTGGCCTCTCGACAAAAAGCAGAGAAAGATTCGTCAAAAAGTTTTCTTGTGTTAAGTTCTTGTCGTGTGTTTGAGATAAACGTATTTGTGTTTAAGTACTGACTTATTATATAAGATATGTTTGTGTAATATAATATCGTCTATCATAGGAAGTCCATCATAATGTGTACACAAAATATGAGCACTTGTATTGTGCGGACTTACTCTGTCTCCGGAAAGTAATGTAAATGTTTAACGTGAATAGTGTACAGAATATACACAGAAATTCTACATCCAAAAAATTATAAATTAAAAACAGCAGAAAATACAAATTGTATCCAAAATGAGCAATAATTCGAGTTTATATGTGTTTGTGAGCACTAATGAGACCATTAATGACAATAATAATCGTAATAAAAGTAGTAATGAAAGTGAGAGGAATGAGTCGTTGGCCATAATGGAAGTGACAGTTTTGGCCATCATTTTCGTGTTGATAATCGTGGGAAATATGTGTGTCTTAATAGCACTGGCTGTTCGCCGGTTTAAAATGACGCGAATGTATTACTTTTTGCTACATCTGGTCATATCGGACATCATGACCGGCTGTTTCACGGTTATGCCGCAACTGGCCTGGGATATCACCCACCGGTTCAATGGGGGTAATATATTGTGTAAAGGTGTGAAATTCTTGCAACTCTTTGGTCCCTACTTGTCATCCTATGTGTTGGTCGTAACCGCTATCGACAGATATCAAGCCATTTGTTATCCTCTGTCTAACTGTAACTGGACTTCAAAGAAGTCCAAACTAATGATAGCCATCGCGTGGATCATATCGATCCTGTGCTCAGCCCCTCAGGCCTTTATATTCTCGTATCAGGAGATACCCGGCTTTCCCGGTGTGTATGACTGTTGGGCCACATTCACTGCCCTCCCACCCCCGTGGGGTGAGCGTATCTATGTGACCTGGTACACGGTCACCGTATTTTTCATACCCCTAATTATCATTACCTACACATATGTCTACATTTGTTATGAGGTGTGGAATAATGTTCGCCTAAAGAGGCAGACATTGAAACCAGAGATCAGTTTCATAGAAATGCGAAAGAATTGGCTGAAGAACGAGAGTGAGGACCAAAATCACACCAAAAATGACAGTTTGGACGGCAATAGTGTGGAGAACAACAGCGATGACAGCAAATACGTGACACCAAATCAAATCAACCCCAGAAGTCACTCAATTTATCGCATTTCCAAAGCCAAGATCAAAACGGTTAAAGTGACAGTTGTTGTGGTCATTTGCTATATTGTGTGCTCCAGTCCCTTCATTTGTGTCCAGGTGTGGGCTAATTGGTGGCCCGGCGCTCAACAGACCTCATTTTGGACAGGTAGGCTTTTTTGTGGTTTCCATTAGCCATAGTGGTAAAACCCGTTATTTAAATATTTTATATATTTCATATAAAATATTTATTCAGAAGTTTTAACGATTTATTTCATACAACACTTTTTTATCGTTTTTGCAAAAGTATATGCATTTATTGATATATTGATTAAAACTTAAGTCTTATGTTTTATTACGTAATCTCTCTCTCTCTTTCTCTCTCTCTCTCTCTCTCTCTCTCTCTCTCCACTCATACTCTTTCACTTTTTGGAGAAAAGAAAACGATATTAATATTTGAATGAAAAATTCTCTTAAACTGTTGGAAAGTTATGATTGAATACTCTTTTTCTAAAAAACTTTTAAGAAATATTTTATTCTGACTTAAATTAAGCGTAAATGCCTTTTATAGCCTAACAACAGATTTTCGCGGAGAGAGAGAGAGAGAGAGAGAGAGAGAGAGAGAGCTTTTACTATTGGAAAGACATTGAAGTCCTTCTCACGACTACTGTATATTCAATATCATTGTCAGTCTCTTAGCTCTCCTTAAGAGTCATCTCTTTTTCATATACTTTGAGGCAAAGAGAAAAAAGAAAGAAAATCTTTTGTATTTCACATATATTTTTGTTATAAATTTATTTTTTCTGTCCAAACGATACCGAAACTGTCACAAAAATCATTGCCAAGAAAAGTTAGATTTTGTTCACAGACTGCAAAAATATTTTTCGCATCCCCTTTAAAATAACTGTTAGGTTTTGACGATCAAAAAATAAGCTTAACTTTTTTCGCAGTAAATATTTATTTAAAAGTTTACAAAAAATATGTTATTTGCTGCTCTCGTTAGCCGTGATTCGTATGGATTTCTATTTATTGTTTGTGTTTTGTTTAGACCCAGACACTAATTTAATAATTTTGTGTTTTATTTGAGCAACACTTTTACTGATTACAGTGTTTTTATGAGTAATAATCAACTTAATGAGTTAAACAACAATTTCATATATCATATTAAAACACAATTTGTTTATCTATTAAACATTAACAGAATAATAATGTGTAAGTCATTGTTGTGTGTTATTTACTAACTCATGCGTGAATCTACTGTGAGATATTATTTTTAATATAAATGCAAATCAAAAGTAATAACACTTCACTCGATATAAAATATAATTTTTTACTTTAAGTATAGCCAAAAATAAAAACTATATATAACTTTTACAATGCAAACAGAGATAAATAATATTATTCTTCGTATTGAATTTGTTATAAATGTTTGATTTTTTCATTAATAACAATATTTCTCGTTTGATATTCTGAGAAATATATAGAATATTCTCGAATTTAGAAAATATTTATAGCGGAAACGAGAGAGAGGGAGAGAGGGGGAGAGAGAGGGAGAGCAAATGAATTGAATACATGGCTAATAATATTATTCTTGTTATGTTTGTTATTAATATCTCAATAAAAAACAAAGCACTCTATCGTAAATATTTTATTACAAACCGTATTTATATTAAATTTATTATTCTTAATATTCTACATTAAATTCACAAAAACTAGAATTAAATATGTGTTCAAATATTTGCTTTATTATGTAATTTAGGTAAAATAACTTTTTAAAATGGATTTATTGTATCAATTTAATACAATTTAATATATCAAAGTAGTACAAGTCCTAAAATCATGGAAAACAAAATAATAAAGTAACTTATGTTATTTGTTATATTAAAAAAATAATGTTTTTATAAATTTTTGATAAAATATATTCCAAATAGGTATTCTTATTTCACAAAAATATAGTCTGTTGCAAAAAAATCACTTTTAGTTTAATATCATAAATGGTTAAAGAATTTTATTCTTACGTTTGCTGTTTTGAACATTTGCTTTTAAAGTTGATATAAATAATAGCTGGTTCATAAAGAAAACTGCAGTCAAAAGGCATTTCTAAGCAAAAATAAAGTATTTTAATATTAAAACAACGTTAATATTTATATTGGAATTCCCTTTTATTTCTCGGAAAATATATATCTGAATATAAATTCACATAACAATTAAGATTAAGGACGCGTCAAATACAGAGAATTATAAGTCTTTATAAATATAAATATATATATATATTATATTTCCTAATATGCTATTAAACTCGCAAATGCTATAAATATAATCTATGGTTAATATTTTCATATAATAATTAGTCGAAAAAATAATATTCCGTGTAATTGTGTGCTACTAAAATAAATCTAAATTAAAAAAGTTTAGCATAAAATGAAATTCGTGTAGTAATCTCCTGAAATTAATTTAATTAAATCTTGATGAATAAATTTTTCCCCGCTAAATTCAGCACAAACAAAAATAAGATATTTATTTATTTATACATTAATTATAGGACATGTGATAAAAATATTATATATCTCTCCCATCATTACTTTGATTCAATTTTCATATTTACATAACGTCTTAAACGGCTTTTCTCGCTCAATACATCCATATATTTATACAGTATATATGGGTTATATTTATATACAAACATGTATTTACATAACGATTAATAATTTTTTGTTACGACAAAATTCCTTACGGGATCAAACAACTTTTTAACCCATGTTTTCCACTTTAACGCCAATCTCTAGTGTGAAATCCAATTAAAATCTAATATCTAATTATTTCCACTCAACTGTATTGGCTTTAAAATTCATACCATTAGCCATTCACTATACAGTATACAGTATAGTGTACTGTACACTATAGTGTATACTATACAGTACTATAGTATTTATTTTAAAATATTTTTAATTAAAATATATTTATGCGGATTTGGTGTTTATTATTGACATTTGGTTTTCGTATTTATAGGCGAATTCGTGACAATATTGATGTTATTGTCGAGTCTGAACTCAACAGTCAATCCATGGATTTATTTGCTCTTCAATCAGAACCTTATGAACGCTTTGCATAGCTTTTGCTG